TGAATCACATCCAGAAGCAAACTGGCAATCAGTGCAGCTCTCAAAGCAGGCACATCATATGGGCATACTGAGCCATGACCATCACTGCATTCTGGACCATCTGAAGCTTCCAAGTTTATTTGTTTATTTAAAAGGTTTGTATGGCCACCCATCTTAGAGCACAACTCTGGGCAGCTCACAACCACAATAAAACTATGAAAACCATAAACTAAAACCCCAGGGCCTCAACCGTCCCCCCAGGGTGTCCCAACAGCCATCCATGGGCTTCCACCACTCTACTCTTTATAGCCTTCTGGAAGGTTAGAATACTGGGGGCCTGCTGGATTGCCAGGAGGAAGGTGTTCTATTACGTAGGGGCAGCCACGGAAAAGGCACACTTCTGAGGTTCCACTAGATGTCAATATTTCAGGGAAGGGACCTGGAATGTGGCTACCCAATCCAATCTACTGGAATGGGACAGGCAGATACCCTCCGGGAGAAGCTGTCTTCAAGGGCAGTTCCATGTAGTGATGAAGCCATGAGATGCCTAGGATGTCATTGTCTGAAGGTCCTCCTGATATAGGAAAGGGCAAAACTAGTGCACCAGATGAAGCTGTCCAAAGGTCTTCCTAGCCACAGCTGACACCTGCACATCAAATAATAGCTACAAATCAAGGAGGGCCCTCAAACTGTATGCCATTCTTGAATGGGAAAGTGCTACCCCATCCAAGGTTAGAGATGGATTATCCTCAAATCTAGGAGGCCTTAACACCCACAGCCATTTGGCCTTGGTAGGATTGAGTCAGAGACGGTTCTTCCCTATCCAAAGCCGCAGAGCCTCCAGGCAGTGGAACAGCCTCAACAGCCTCACACGGCTGGCCTGGAGTCAAAAAATATAATTAGATATCATCAATGTACCGATGATACCAAACCCCAAACCAGTGGATGACCTCACCCAGTGGTTTCATGTAGATGTTGAATAAAAGGGGGGAGAGAGTCAAGCCCTGTGGCACCCCATAGAGGAGGGGCCTAGGGAGCAGCCTTTCCCCTCCAACTACCACAACTGAAACTGGCCCCAGAGGATAGAAGAGAACCACCATAAAATGGTGCTTCCTATCCTTAACTTCCAGAGCCAGCCCAGAAGGATACTGTGGTCAGCTACTGAAAAATCAAGGGGCATGAAGATGGACGCATCACCTCCATCCCAGCTCTGCCACAGATCATCTACAAACATAACTAAAGCTGGCTTAGTATTAAATTCTGTCCTGAAATCCAACTGAAATGGGTCGAGATGATCTGCTTCTTCCAGGATTCTCATCAACTGCAAACTGACCACCTTCCCAACAATGTTCCCTAAAAAAGGAAGGATGAAGACAGGACAATAGCTGTCTAAAAGTGATGGGTCCAAGGACAGCCTCTTAAAGAAGGGTGCAATTAGTCCCTGAAAAGAGAATATTCATATTGACATTGTTGGCAAAAACACAACACTTCGTAAAAGACATTTTCTTATAATGTGTAATAATCAAGTGATATAGTGAAGTTAATGGCTTGAATTTAAATCTTCTCTTAAATATACTGTATTAACACCCTTCTGATTATTATATTTCAATAGATGTAAGATTAAGTCTCACTTTAAAAAAACAGATGAGTCATCCTACTGATATCTGATTTCACCTTCATGACATATGAGTGAGGTGTCTTATTTGAAGACAATCATTATTGTTGCTCTTAAGCATAATCCTTCTCACAGGGTAACTCTTAAGATTGGCTGGTATGCACAGAAATTAAGGCCTTCTGGGTGCTGTGAATTGTGCCAAGCCTCTTTTATGCATGCCTTAATCAAGTAATAAAGGCCTTTCTTTGTAAAACTGCCTTCAGTTGATTTTATAATTAGCTTGTGTGTCAAATGAAGGTTGTTATGCCTTCTTGCTTGTACACCACTTTGTGAGAGCAGAGCTCTGAGACAGCAGGAAGAAATTCTTTTTTAAAACAATAATCCTATGCATGACAGGTATTCAGATTTCTTAACATAAATTTCCTTATCCACAGTCTGGACAAATTTTCATTTAGATACATATAAGAGGTAACACTAAACTCTAATTCGTTGCTGCAGCCACAGTGGGCATCTGGATTTTTGCAGCCCTTATCTAGTAGCCCTAATCTAGAATGAATCCAAAAGTTCTGTTTTGTTAGGAAAATATCAGACTTTAATAATATATGAAAGCCCACCTAACAACCACCAAAGCAGAAATGAAGAGGTTTAAATCAAAATGCTGAGCTCTTTAAAAAAAAATGGAAGAAAGCAAGCTACAGAAAGCTAGTGAAAAACCTTGCCAAAACTGGCTGCTAGTAATTTCCTTTGCTGGCATTTTATCAGAGAAGCTCACATGAAGAATTCTTCCATTATTTCTCCTCCTGAAAACTTCTTTGCCTTTTTCTCCCTTTCTCCTATTGTCTCTTCTGTGCAGAATATGAGTTTGGATAGAAAGAAGCTACTTTTTCAGTGTTACGCAAAGTAATGGCATAAAGTGAGGACCTAATTGCAGCGGTCTTATTTCTTCTTCCCAGCATGTCTTGCAAGAGCCTTAGTCTTATCCAATCTGATCTTAACTCTGTTCCTAGTCTGAACCAACTGCTTGTCTGGATGCTCTCATTCATTCTATCTAACAATGCATACGCTGCTAAAGATGCAAATTAAGCATCAGCAAAAGCTCTTTCCCCCCATTCTGGATTTTACCCATTTTGTCTGATAATGAAATCTTGAAAACTAAAAAGTTTACAACTGTAACAGTTGCAATGGAATCAAGTGGCCTTCTACATTTAATTTTTAATCATCATCATAATAACCACACCAATAAAACTAAGAATAAAAGTATGGCCTCGGTTTATTTTTTTCACTATCACCAAGATAGCCATTACTTAACATTTTTAAAAAGTTTTTTCCATATTGTTCACCTGGATTTTTGTTGTTAAAAAAATTCTGCTTAGTTATTATATCTCCCAATTCATCACAAGAATTTCTTCTTTTCTGCCTGATTTCTAGGCCCTAAAGAACAATTAAACAGAGAATCTGTGGGTATACTTTAATGGATGGTCTGTAACCAACTCTGCACAGAAGATATGATTGGAAATGCAATATTAAAAACAACAACAGAAAACAACCGGTTTTTCCTTAGGGCTGCAGTCCTGTCTGAGAAATATGTCCCACTGGCTTCCATGATATATATATTTCTGGAATTTTACCTTGTAAGACCCAGAGGTTAAACAAATATTGGAAGTATTTTCAAAGAACTGATACATCACATACTTTACAGGTAGATACTGGATAGGTACATCTGGAATTTCAGGAATACAGCAAAAAGCATTCATTTGCTTGGGTTTCATCAGAATCTTTAACCATTAGAAAAATAAGGGTGTACTTGTGAAATAGCATTGTTTGCTATAATATATAGGAATGTCCAGTCAACTAAGTATTCATAATAATATGCTCGGTTATAAAGACAATTATATTTCTAACAATGGATGATCTCCAGCCCAGTCCAGTCCAGTCCAGTATAGTAAATTAGAAATGATATTAACTGTGTACTTACATCAAACCAAACTAGTCTATTCTACCTGTACAATGATTGTTTATTCTTTACAAGGAATAGATCTGGAAGATGCAATAGACAGTATGAGACACCAGATGATGCTGTTTTACAGTACATGAATAAAGCCAAACTTCTGTCTGTGATCTTTTGCATCAACTCTGCCAATCAAGAGCAAGCCATTTATATTCGGAAGTTCTCTTGGTCGACGTGTGTGGAAAAGTTTCATGCAAGTTGTTTTCTGTAGACTTCTCCAATGTAATGAAAGACTTGCCTTCTTCATCAGGTTAGTGAAGCGGCAAAGTTACATTGCCACTGAACTTCCAGGCTATGATATCACTTTCGAACAGCACATGGGTCATACTGAATTTCTAACTTTGACAAAATCCACCAATAATCGTTATCACCCATAGTTTAGCACATACAGTTTCCATTCAGATTCTCCCTTCACTTCAAAACAAAACACATTTTAAAATTCAAGGATTGGGCAAACATAGCAGGATCTTTTCTCCAACATCTATCAGTCAATTACCTTCCCCAAGGCTTACACATAACATCTGGTCATCGGAGGTGCACAGGCTTTTCTTCAGAAAGACAGCTCCTAGCGCTGACTGTCAAAAGATTTTGAATCTTCCCCTTCTTGGCGGATTGGTGGAGACCTTGCTAGTCAGCAGGATAGTATGTTTACTACTGAATCAACGTACTATCCGGCTAACTAGTAAGGTCTCCACCAATCCGCCAAGAAGGGGAAGATTTATTCTGGGAAAAAAAGATGGCAGAACATTATGGATGTTCACAATATCCTAAGCTGATTAAATCCACAGATGTTGCATTAAAAAAAAAAACCTTTTGTTGTTTTTAATTTCCAAAAGTAGATGACCAACAATAATGTGCTTCTTCTCCTTCTCAGCAAGCTTGAGACCATCTTTGATACAATCTGGTACAATCTAGCATTACTTCTGTGCCTAATTCTAATTTGTATGCTTGGAACTCCTTAGTTCCATCTAAGAATATATTATTTTTATAGGTAAGGCTTAAGTGCTATCACCATTACCATCTTTCCCCTTTTATTTCAAATACCTTGTTGAAGATTTTCTGGAAGCTCAAAAATTTGCAACTATTATATAAACCATAAATTAGCCTAAAAATGTACTGCCTCGCTCTTTTTCTCAAAGTCAACAAAACAACATAACAGTACTGTCACTGTACTTTTTTAAAAAAAATTGCACAAATATACACAATGGTGCAGTATGGAAATTATAGTGATGGATTTGAATGAGGGAGACTCAGATTCAAGCCCAAGTTTTTCTTGGGCCTCTGAGAATCATTTTTCTGTACTGTTCCGTCTTGCTCCCACCCATCCATTCAGGTCTCCTAGCAGAACATTTTTTCCCCTGAATCACATTCCTTCAGAAGGATGTGCAACATTCCAGCACCTTCTAAAGACAACAATTAATACTCAGTGGCTAATTTATAGCTTTTAACACTTGTAAAGATCAATAGAAATCAATACATTTGTATTACCATCTGAAACAGCTTGGCATTCAGATAGGAAACAGATTTAGAAACTGTATTGTGTGAGTTGAGGGCAGCTGTCAAGGAGCCCCTGCCCTCTTGGAATGAGTAGATCATCCTACTCCAGGCACTAGAGATCTAGTGTGGTCTGGACAGCCAGTGTGGGCCAGCAGTTAAAATCTTAGTAGGGAGACTAAGTGTTTCTACTGGGGGAGGTGGGGGCGAAGATTAAGCCCTACTGAATTTATATAACCCAAAGGCACACCAATAACAAGCAATGGCAAGGAGTGAGGATAATACACTGAAATTGAAAGCCTTCTGTTCAATTCCATCCTGTTTGAAGACTAATAGGAAGAAAGCGAAGTGATTGCTCATCTGTTGCAGAGTATTCCAGAGGATGTGTAAGTCTGGAAAGAAGGACCTGGGCACAGGCTTGGTAGCCCATGGAGCTACAGCTGGGGGGTGTTTGCCTATAAATAATTAAGGACAGGTGTAGGGGATTAAGACTTTGATTGGCACATCCCTTGGAGTAGAAAGGGGGGGTCGTACTTAGTTGGAACGCAGCTCTGATTGTTGGCAAGTTCAGATGAGTCAAAAAGAAACATCATACTCTTTTTTAATGTGAGCAGACTAATATATGTGGAGGTTTTGAAAAGAAAACAAGCAGCAGCTTTTCATCTCTCATTTCTTCTATGGCAGTCTGCTAATTGGGTCTCTGAAAAGGGGTAAATCCAAAGAAGTGGTTTGCCAATAAAATAGTATCTGTGCAGAAATAAAAATAAATGCTTGCATTTTAACTGAAAGAAACAAACCAACGATCTCTCCAAGGAAGAGGAGCTGGGAGAGGGAGACTTGCTTGGGGAATTTTTAAAACACTGCAGCAAAGATCCTGCAGTTGACTAGACCAGGCAGGATGGATGGAAATTCAAGGAAACTGAAAAGGGGTTTTGACAAAGCTGCAATGTAGAATAGATGGGGCAAACTGCATTTGGAGGTTTCTTGGTAGGCACTGTGGGACAAAGGCGGCCAAATGTTCAATTGTAACGTGCATCTCTTGGAACTGAAAGGCTGAGGATGGAAGGGGCTGGCTGTCAGCATAATATTCCATTGGAATCCATGGAACATGGAGTAAAAAATGTGTATGCCATATATCATGTAGCGACAAAGTGCTTCCTCAATACAGTAATTAGCTGGCAGACATCCATTACTCAAGGCTTAGGTAGCAATGCTTTCCAGGCAGGAAGTCCAAAGTCAATTCTTTAGCCTCTCCACTGGAAAAGATGTTTAGATAGATGCTTTCTACTTAGATACTACTGGGGAGTGCAGGCAATCCTAGGACTAACACACCAGTGGCTTGACTCAGAATAAGATGACTTCATATATTTATGTAACACAAATGTAATATAGAGCACTCTTTGTGCTTGATTTCAAAGGTGCAGCTAATGCTGAACACATCAGTCAGGTTGCGCAGTGGTGGCTACTGGCTATGTACATTATGTACCTTTGTAGAAATAACTGCACCACTGCCAATTAGCTATCTCATAAGGTTGAAGGTTTGGATTATGACAGACAAGATCTTACCAACTTGTAATTAGGATACCTGTCAACTTTCACTGTTATAGATCTGGTTGGTCAAACAGATCTTCAGGGATATAAGAAGAAACACTGAATGCTCTTGCAGGATCATTTGCAGGCTTTCTCTGTGGTGGCACATCAGCTCTGGATCCTTCTCTCTGAAATGTGGGAGGTGTTTACTATAACATCTTTTTAGGGGTCTGTGGAAAATTTACCTCTTCACCCAAGGTTTCCCAACATGAATTTTGAGGAAAAGCATCACTCCTAACTTTTTAATAAATATGTTTTACGTGTATTTTATTTTTCATTTTCTCATAAATCACTTTGAGATACTTCAACATAGTGGGGAGCATATAAATAAAAACCAGGCTGTTTGATCAACAGGGATGCTCTTGACTGGCATGGGTCTTCATTCATAAAGTATCAGAATCATAGAGTAAGATGAGACAATGGCTAATAGGATACAGGTGTTTAAGGTCAGAACATTCCGGAGGAATGACTAACATTTGGTCTGTTTGCTTCAAGGCCTACAGCCCATTGTTAAACTCCTCTTACTCTGTCTCTTAATGTTCAGCCCAAATCTACCTTCTGGTAATTTGAGACCCTTAAATCTGGTCCCCCTGCCACCCCCCCCCCACTTGAGTGCTGGAAAACATTTTTTGTGTGTGTGACAACTGTTTGTTTTTGCAGATGTAACCCTAACCCTGCACAAATGTGCTGTATCGCAATGGCCAAAAAAAGGAGAGCTGGCACACTAATTTCCCCTTATCGTCTTAAAATGGCAGTCAGGGTGTAATGTAGCCTTCTTCGCCATTGTGACTTCAGATGCCAATATCTGCAGTCCAGGCGGCATTGGTGCTGACTGGATAATTGAGGTCCCTCGAGATCTTTAAAAGTCCACACTACCGTACTATACCTCTGCCGGAGCTCTGCCTCCTCCACGTCCATTTGCAAAGAATGTTTAAAGTGCTGGTTTGTGCACCTCCCCAGAGTTGGCATTTACTTTGTAGTGGAGTCATACAGAAGAATATTGGGTAGCCTGTGGCCTTCCAAACATTGCTGAACAACAAGCCAGCATTACCAACCATGAGGACACTAGCAAGTGTAATACAGCTACCTTGGAAAGGCTACTGGTTCCCCATCCCTGATACTCCATAGTAACCGATGGGGTGGGAAAGCAGAGTATGTACTCTGGGAAGAATAAATTATTTGAGAGTGGAATAGCATTTCAGCTTCAGATCCTCTCTCTGTTTTGTACTCAGTTTGCAGAAGGATGGATTACCTGCTTCGGTCTAGTCCATTTCCACCATACCTCCAGAAAGCTTTTAGCTACTTCTCTCGCTGAACTCTCGGGATGCCTCTTTACAGGCAGGTTAACAGCATTTGTTTCTTCCGATAAGCCATGCCTTACAGGAGGAAAACAAAGGCGCTTTCCTGGGGCGCAACGGCCCAGGTTTTACAAGATTTCAGTCCTCACCACTATATCCGCGGAAGTGGACCCGGCCAAAAAAAAAAGGGGGGGGCGCCTGTGGCCAGGCGAGCCAGCCGTGGCAGAGGAGGGCGGGTTTTTCACCTGCCCCCTGCCCAGTTTCGGGCCTTCCTTCTCGCCGCCGGGCAGCCCCTTCTGCCGGCGGCGGCGGCGGCGGCGGACCAGGCGCGCATGCCACCCCGAGGGCAGCGAGGCGCGCCCGGCGGCGCAGAAGACCCTCGCGCGGCCGCTAGTGAAGCACCGCCGCTCGCCCGGCTTGCTCCCACTCCCGAAGAAAGTTCCCGACGCTCTCGGACTTCCTTGCCTCCATTCCGGGATTCGGAGAATGGCGTATCTTCCCGTCGGTTTTACAATCAGCCTCCAGGAAACAGGGAAACTGACTGCAAAACCGGCGGGGCCTCTTCCGGGATGCAGAGCACCCAAGAACTGGTAACCACCGCGCTGCTCAGCCCTGCCAATTAACCCAGACCCCGCGGATGTCGTTGGCAGGCAACGTTAAGCCACCCTGTGGCAAATCCTCGTCCCAGGAACGCCCCTTCTCCCTTCCGATTTTCATTGGTGCTCCGTTGACAGTCGCTTCTGTACCGGAGGAAGGAGCGGGTAGCGAAGGGAGGGCGAGAAGACTGTTTCGCATCTCGCGCTAAGCCGCGGTTGCTTGATCGTGATTCATTGTCTGAACCACAATGCGAGGAGTTCACATAGCATGCTAAGCCATGAACTTGGTTTATGATCCACAGTGGGGCAGGACTGGATTGGTGCAATGCACTTAAGGTACAACCTACTTGGGCTCCGCGCTCAATGCCTGTATCCAATTTCATGAATAAAAAGGATTTAAGCTCTTCTGTGATCTAAACCAGATTGAGAACAACATCGCCAAACTGGATAGTATTGAAATGACAAGGATTGAATTTCTTCTCTCCTTCTCTGACTGAGCTCCTGTAGCTCAGTAATCTGTAATGAGAGCATTTGTTTTCATCTAGTAACTTGTATTAATCTGGCCATTACAGATTATAAACTATGATTTCTATCACGTGTGATCCCAGCCCTCCATGTCTGTATGTGAGCATAGAGTTGGCTATATATACTCCAGTTTAATAAGCATTATATTCCCAGCTACAGTGTACACTATATAACACAAAGATTTATGGCATCACAAAAATCAAGCTTGTAATGTACTTGGAAGAGTATTCTGCTAAACTCTGGAGAACTTTGCAGGGTCATGTGTTGGGCTAATGCTGCAATCCTGCAGTTGTTTGGGGGGGGGGATATAACCCATTTGAACTCAGTGGGATTTTTGTTTGAGTAGACCCACATAGGACCACACTGCAAAGCTTTTGCTGTATCCTTCCTTGGAAGTCAACAGAACTTAGTTTGGAATAAATCGAGCTGTAAGAGATTTAGTGTGACAAAAGGTGTACAACTGAAGAAAGTCCTCTCCTTTCTCCATTTTTAACTGCTTGCTATGATGCTGATCACTTTGCATCCCTTTCTTCAGATTCCCAAGCACTGTAGTTCTATTCACAGTATATGCTAAATCAGCTTTATTCCCACGGCAGCCTTGTCTGACCTGGTGCCTCCATACATCTGACTACAATTCCCAGAATTCCAAACCCAATTGGAGAAGGGCAGCAGGCAGACTTCCACTGCTATTTGCACTTTTCAAAAGACTTCTGATGAAGAATGTGGAAGTCTTGTGAGTTCAGGGGGTTATCTCTGTGACCATTTCTCCACTACTGATTTAAAGCACCATTCACTGGTTCTTGCCTTGGCCAGAACAGTCTCATCATAACTTTAGCTCAAATAAAATAATGTCTTGGCCCTCTCGTGGTTCCCCATTGATGCATTATATAGACTTGCAGGCTTGCCGACCAGTAGAGAATAGCAGAGGCTTTCTTTTTCCTTTCCCTTTGCTGCTCTCCTCCTCAGCATATCAACAGCTACATCAGTGTTGTCCAAACTTGGCCACTTTAAGATGAGTGGACTTCAACTCCCAGAATTCCCATTTGAGCATTTCCCAAGATTTTTCTTAGAAAAAAGTGAAATGAGATGCAGAGGTAGAAGTTCTCAGCCATGTCTATGAAATGTTTAATTCAGCTGAGCAACGTCAGAGAGATTCTAAGCTGGAGGAGCATAAGAAGACGCCCAAGGAGTGAACCCAGAGCCCCAACCATGGGGGACTTACTACTCCCAAGAGAAACAAAATCCAGTAAAATAAATGGTGCAGGACCAGAATGGAGGGCACTTTCTCTTCAAAAGTATCCCGACCCCACTTCTCAGTCTTTGTTTGGCCCGGCTTGCCCCGTCTTCATGCCCAGCATGTTAGATTTAAAAGGCTGGTCGGGCCATGCCAGCCAATATATCCCAGCTGACTAGAGTGCTTGCCTGTGATTTGATTATTTCCAGAGAAAAGACGGGCGTCCTGCCCAACCTCTCCTGCCATTGCAAGAGCTGAATTAACTAGCCTTGAAGCAGGTTTGTGATGTGTATCAGGATCCAGAGAAACATCTGAATTTGACCGAGGAAGTCTTCAAGAAGAGGGGAAAGGTTAATACTCCTGATAACTGGAAAGAGGCCAAAGGGAAGAATGGGATGGAAAAGAGAGAGAGAGAGAGAGAGAGACTGGGTTTTGCTTTGTATTTTGCTTTCAAGCAAGATCTGAAAACTATACACATACCGATTTTCCCTATTAAAGTCAAAGTCACCATATACTTCCTTTTCCTTTTTAAATATTTTATTTAAAAGCATAAACATTCGTGAACGCAATTCACTTCTCAAATGCATCGAAATGAGCCGTAAAGTTTATACCTTTTATAAAATTACCAGACTCCCAATTTTTAGGCTAAGGTAGACTAACATGCCTTTCCTCCTACACAGATTTCCTAGGGTTTTGCAAAGCTGCAGTGATCACAAACATACACCCAAACGGAGGTCATAATTGGGAGTAAGGACCAATGAATTCAACGAAGTTTATTTCCAAATAAACTTGACTAAAACACACTGCAAACGGGAAGCTGGATGTAAAGACGACCTTTTTTCCCCCCCCCAGAATACATAGTCTGGGGAAAGCTGGTTTAACATTGGGAAGGTGGAGCCTGGAACCCACCCTCCCAGTCTCCCCCATCGAATGGGACTTACTTTCTAAAGGAAGGGAGGCCGAGAGAAAAGAGACTCTTCAGCAAAGCCCACTAAAAATGGATGTATTCTACAGTTCTTCAGTTAACCTCCAGGCCCTCCAAGGCTGGATACCTCCATTCTGTTGTGGGACTGACTCCTAATTTCACAGCACCTGACAGTGCCTAAAGATGGGAACACTGCGGGCTTAAGGTTAGAGAAGAGCTTTTACGGAGCCAGCTGACTAGCCTATCTGCTTAGAGGTTGGCTAGGAATCAATATACAACATGTATAAACATATACATATATTTTTATTTTTTAGTACATCTATACTATGTGTTTTATAGGTACTTACTAATGACTAATAATACTATTCCATTCCGTGGGGTCAGTAGTGATAACAGAGATCACTAGTAGGAAAAGTATGGCAATAGCTTTAACACCACAACGGCCCTAGTACCAGTAGCAGGAGTAATGGAGGTGCCATTTTGAACTCTCACGCAGCCCCGTTCTCGGCACGGTCGCTCAAAACGAAATTCCAGTCAGTTAAATGGGACCGGCGGGACTAGCCTTTGCGCCGAAAGTTAGCCCAAACTGCTTAATAAATATGTTAATTGCAGCCAGCTACTCCTCCTTCCATCACCAACGTCGCTACTGCTCCATCTATTGCTGTGACTACTGTGGTAGTATATTGAATTGTCCAGGTTTTTTTCCTCCTCGCTTCTCAAACCCTCTTTTTTTGTAGAGGAGGCTACTGGATTTAAATGTGCTGCTTAACGGAAAGAGCAGGAAAGTTGAAAACTGGAAATCGAAGAAAGCGCATCTACTCTCCCGAGTTTCGGGGAAGTTGATCGAGCCAGTGCAACTTCCCGTCGGGTGAATCCAATTCCTCTCTGCCCCCGCTCGCCTATGCAGCTCGAGGTGAAAATCCGCAGGGGCAGCCTGTCCCTTCCTCCCGCAGGCGACTTTGCTACAGCGTCCAGGCGAAGGCAACCGGGTCCTGGCGTCCAGCTCTCCGTCCCCTTGGCAAAGCGGCGCGCGCCTGGAGCCCCGGCCAGCTCTCCCGGGCTGGTGTTATTTCCGACGCGTTCGGTTAAAAAAACATCGGGAGGGGAAGAAACAGGAAAAGCGGGAGGGAAGGAAGGAAGGAAGAAGAGTTTGTAAAAGCAAATAGGTGACTCAGCGAGGCTGTTTATATTGGGGGCTGTATTTTCCCCCGCTTCTTTTATTTATTTCATCCCTCC